AAAATTTGAAGGACAGAAATGTCAAAGATGGATAAAACATTAGCCCACAAAGATGAGAAAGAACTAGCACAATAACCCTGATAACTCAAGAAGCCAAAGTGCTGTCTTTTCTCAAAACAGCCACACTAGCTCTCCACCAAGGGTTCTTAACTGGGCTGAGGTGGCTGAAATGACAGAAATAGAATTCAAAATATGGATAAAAACAAAGGTCATTGAGATGCAGGAATACATAGAAACCCAAGCCAAAGAAGCTAAGAATCACAATAAAACAGTAAAATGGTCATACTGCTCAGAGTGATTTAAAGATTCAGTGCTGTTCCTATCAAACTACCAATGACATTCTTCACACAACTAGAAAAAAATTATTTTAAAATTCATATGGAACCATAAATGAGTTCAAATAGCCAGTGCAATTCTAAGCAATAAGAACAAAGCTGGAGGCATCATTCTGCCTTACTTCCAACCATAATACAGGGCTACTGTAATCAAACAGCATGGGACTGGTACAAAAACAGACATACAGACCAATGGAACATAATAGAGAGCCCAGAAAATAAGGCCACACACCTACAATCATCTGATCTTTAACAAAGCTGACAAAAACAAGCAATGGGGAAAAAGCTCCCTATTCAATCAATGGTGCTAGGATAACTAGCTAGCCACATATAGAAGACAGAAATACCATATACAAAATCTTTACACCATATACAAAAATCAACTTAAGATTTATTAAAATCTTAAATATAAAATCCAAAACTATAAAAACCCTGGAAGACAACCTAGGCAATACCACTCTGATCATAGAAACAGGCAAAGATTTTATGACAGAGGTGCCAAAAGCAATTGCAACAAAAGCGAAAATTGACAAGTGGGATTTAATTAAACTAAATAGCTTCTACACAGCAAAAGAAACTGTCAACACAGTAAAGAGACAACTTACAGAATGGGAGAAAATATTTGCAAACTATGCATCTGACAAAGGCCTGATATCCAGCATCTATAAGGAACTTAAATTTACAAACAAAAATCAAACAGCTCCATTAAAAACTAGGCAAAGAACATAAACACTTTTCAAAAGAAGACATACACACAGCCAACAAGCATACAAATAAAAGTTCAACAACACTGATGATTAGAAAAATGAGTCAAAACCACAATGAGATACCATCTCACGCCTGTCACAATGGCTATTAATAAATGTAAAAAAATAACAGATACTGGCAATATAGCAGAGAAAAAATAATGCCTATACACTGTTGGTGGGAGTATAAATTAGTTCAACCATTGTGGAAAGCAGTGTGGTGATTTTCCAAAGACCTAAAAAGAGAAATGTCATTCAACTCGGCAATCCCATTACTGGGTATATACTAAAAGGAGTATAAATCTTTCTAAAGACACATACTCACATATGTTCATTGCAGCATTATTCACAATAGCAAAGATATGTAATCAGCCTAAATGTCCATCCAAGGTAGACTGGATAAAGCAAATTTTATATATACCATGGAATACTATGCAGCCATAAAAATGAATGCTATTATAACCTTTTCAGGAACATGAATGAAGCTGGAGGCCATTATTATTAGCAAACTAACGCAGGAACTGGAAACCAAATACTGCATGTTATCACTTATAAGGGGGAGCTAAATGATGAAAACACATGGACACATACAGGGGAACAACAGACACTGGGGCCTACCAGAAGGTGAAGGCTGCGAGAAGAGAGAAGATCAGGAAAAATAATTATTGTATACTAGGCTTGATACCTGGGTGATGAAATAATCTGTACAACAAACCTCCATGACATGAGTTTACCTGTGTAACAAACCTGCACATGTGACCCTAAACTTAAAATAAAAGTAAAAAAAAAATCCTGAAAAACACAAACAGAAAAGTATATTTGGACAATAAGAAACAGATTTTATGTTCTTGGATAAGATGATTGAGCATCTTTAGTTGATATCTATTTCACAGGGAAAAATAGATATTCAGCAACAGTTAAAAACTGGAAAATAAAAACTATATGCTTGATGAATTTGCTTTACTAGATGTTTAACATTTTTAAAACTTCTATACTTTGACAATGTCATACAGATCAAAGAAGTAGGGTAAAATAGAAAGTCAATAAATAGACCAAAGTACATTTGGAAATCAAATATACAATAAAGTTTGGAAATCTAACATATAATCAAGGTAGTTTCTCAAATAACTCAAGCAAAGGTATATATTTCAATAAATTAACCTGGGAAACCTTATTTGCTTCTTGGAAAAAGATAAAATTGAAGATACATCTCACACTCTACTAAAAAATACACTCCCAACATATCAGAGCCTTAAGTGTAAATCATAAAACGACAAGAACATTAGAAGTCAACAAGGGTGAATTTCTCTAAAACCAGAAAGTTGAAAAGTTTCTAAATATGACTTAATGTCAATATGTTATATACCTAAAGAATAATAAATTTAACCGCATAAAACATTTGCATGGCAAATAAATGCCACAATCAAGTTATAATGTGTTGATATTTTCAACATATGTAGCATAATATAGTGATGATATTATTGAAACTCATAAATAATAGAGAGATTTTTAAAACACCAAAGGGAACAGTGTTTAAAATGTATGATCAAAAATTTTCTAAAGGACCTGGAAAAGTGGTTCTGTAATATAAGAAAAGGTGCTAAATTTTACTTCTAATTAGAGAAATTAAAACATAATATTAACTCCCACAAAGATCTACAGAAATTTTAAATCTTTGAAAAAGAAGACAATTTCACATACAATAGACCCCAAAACGTAAAATATCTAGGAATATAATCAACCAAGGAGGTGAAAGATCACTACAAGGAAAACAATAAAACACCAATGAAGTAAACTGTAGATAACAGAAACAAATGCAAAAATATTTCATGCTTATGGTTTGGAAGAATATAATTAAAGTGACCATAATGCCCAAAGCAATTTACAAACTCAAAACAATCCCTAACAATGTAAAAACGTACCAATGTTATCATTTTTCACAGGATTAGGGAAAACAACTCTAAAATATATATGAAGGCAAGAAAGCCTGAATAGCCAAAGCAATCCTAAGCACAAACACACAAACAACAACAACATCATTCTAAGCAATGAATTTGTGACTAAAACCTCAAAAGCAAATGAAAAACAAACAAACAAACCCAGACAAATGGGACTTAAACTAAAAAGGCTCTGCACAGCAAAATAAATAAACAACAGCATGAACAGACAACCTGTAGAATTGGAGAATGTATTTGAAACTATGAATCTGACAGGGGACTAATATCTAGATTTTACGAGGACCTCAAACAACTGAGAACAAAAACGAAACCAAAATAATAATCTTAATAAAAGTGGGCAAAGACATGAATAGATATTTTTCAAAAGCAGACATACAAATGGCCAACAAGCATACAAAAAATGCTCAACATTACTAATCATGAGAGAAATGCAAATTAAATCCACAATAGGATATTGTCTTTCACTAATTAGAATGATTATTACTAAAAAGATAAAAAATAACAGGTGTTAGTGAGGATGTGGAGAAAAGGGAACTCATATACTGTTGAAGGGAATGTAAATTAGTAGTACATCTCTGAAAAGCAACATGAATTTTGAAGAAATAAAAATGGAACCACCTTTCAACACAGTAATCCAACTACTGGATATCTACATAAAGGAATAGAAATCATTATGTCAAAAAAAACAAATCACACTTGCATCTGTAGGTTTGTCATAGTACTAATCACAATAGTAAATACATAAAATCAATCTAAGTGCCCATCAATGAATGTTTGGATAAATAAAATGTAGTATACATACACAGTTGATTTCTTTGCAGCCATGAAAAAGAACCAAACCATGTCTTTTGCATGGATAGAACTGGAGGCCATCTTACATGAAAGTCAAATGAAGAAAGACAAATTCCCACTTATAAGTAGCAGCTAAATAATGTATACTTGTGCACATAGAGTATGGAAGGATAGAAAATGGAGACACATGGAAGAGTGAGGGAGTGGGGAAGAATGATGAGAAATGACTTAATGGGTACAATGTACCTTATTTGTGTAAAAGATAGCCTAAAAGCCCTAGCTTCACCACTATACAATCTATGCATGTAACATATAAATGTATCCAAATAAACAGAAAATTTTTGACAGCCCACTATGGTGACAGACTATGGAGATCAAGACACTCTCAGGCCGGGCGCGGTGGCTCAAGCCTGTAATCCCAGCACTTTGGGAGGCCGAGATGGGCGGATCACGAGGTCAGGAGATCGAGACCATCCTGGCTAACACGGTGAAACCCCATCTGTACTAAAAATACAAGAAAATTAGTCGGGCGAGGTGGCGGGCGCCTGTAGTCCCAGCTACTCGGGAGGCTGAGGCAGGAGAATGGCGTGAACCCGGGAGGCGGAGCTTGCAGTGAGCCGAGATCGCGCCACTGCACTCCAGCCTGGGCGACAGAGCGAGACTCCGTCTCAAAAAAAAAAAAAAAAAAAAAGACACTCTCATTGTTAATGTGCCTAAAAACTAGGAACACTCTTAAAGAGGATATTGTTTCCAATATGGTAAAATGTATAACAAAATTAACTATATTTTTACATTTCATACTAGCATTCTCACAGCTAGAAGTTTACTTTGCAAATATATATGCACAGATTATTCACTGAAACATGACCTGTAATTGCAAAATCTTGGAAACAATTTAAATGCTGAAATATAAAAGATTGGATTATATCTTCAAATTCTACAAAATAGAGTACCACCGAGCTAGTAAATAAGGAGAAATGTCTGCATAAATAAAAACACTTCTGGAATGCTGACATTGCTGTATCTCCTCCTGGAGAAGCAATAACCTAGTGTTTTACGTTGTAATACACAATTTTTGTTGTGAACATTTTCCATGTTAACAGTTAGTTTTTGACTAACAACTTTTTAAAAATTGTTTTCTACTTTCTCAAAAATTAGAGGTAACTTACCTCAGCCAACACAGCAGGCAACTCAGACAATGCAGTATCTGCACAAACGAAAAGTATTAAATAACTTAGTCTCCCCAATGATATATCCACATCTCTTTTAAGATGACATGGATGCAGCTCTTTCAGGGGGGAAGCTACAAGCCATACAATGAGTCTTCTCTGGCACTCACTGTGTATGGGAAGGTCAGATTACAACACTGGTAATAGTCCTGATTCTTACAGCTGATCTCACTCAGTCTCAAATACATTACATGCTTTAAACCAACAACACCTTCCCTTGAGGATACCATTTTATTTGTTATCTACATTTTATAGATGATGAAATTAAAGGCTAAGGATGACAGTTACTTCAAATATAAAGGAAATTAACTAGAACTCAGAGTCAAGCTCTCTTCTATTTTCACTGCTTTTTCCAATGCCCACATAATTCCGTCACAATGACAGTAATAGACAATCATGGGTTTTAAGGCAGGCCAAATGTCTTAAAAGTTATCAATGAGGACTGGCTTGATACAATACTTTCATGTCAGAATTTGTAACTATAAATATCAGATCTGAAGGTTTATCCTAACAAATTTTACTGGAGAATATGACCTCCAAAATAGGGAAAGAGTTTAGCTGAAGCACTTGAAGAGAATTCACTGGGCATTTATATTCACTGTAGAGTTTTCTCCCTTTATAACATAGAGAGGGGAATTCACCAATGTAATTTTTTTTTTTTTTTTTTTTTTTGAGATGGAGTCTTGCTCTGTTACCCCGGCTGGAGCATAGTGGCGATCTTGGCTCACTGCAATCTCTGCCTCCTGGGATCAATTGATTCTCCTGCCTCAGCCTCCCAAGTAGCTGGAACTACAGGTGCACACCACCATGCCTGGCTAATTTTTTTATTTTTAGTAGAGACGGGGTTTCACCATGTTGGCCAGGCTGGTACCAAAGTAATTTTAAAAGGGCATTTGTCCCCTGTTTATTCGATTTACCAGTTCAAGTATATTAAATCAAATGGAACAACGAATTTTATTCCCAGGTGATATCAAATCTTGCCTGCATTTTCTAGGACATCAGAATGTCTAACCAGGATTACAAAACGTACTTACCAGAACAAAGATAAAATGCCAACATGATGATAAAACTAGCTTTGATCCACAATGAGAAGTGAGCCATTTGACCTCTTCAGTTACCCTAAAAGAAATATGTAGAGAAAAGTTCATAATATTCATGACACAAACCCCATAAAGCTTCAGTGAACAGAATTGGAAAGAGGGACCACTTTCTGTACCCTTCCAATTGAGAAGACAGTTAGAACTTCTATATTCCTTTAGGGAAGACTAATGAAGAGTAGTCCCTTTGCTCCTCCACCCCTAAAGCCAACAAGAAATAAGCACAATAAATACATATGGGAAAATGTTCAGGATAACCTTCTGTGTGGCATTTAATATCACATGGACTTTTGAGAGTCTAATTTATTCTTCATAGAAGTTGCAAAAATCATTATTAGAAAAACACGATCTGGAGAAATTCAGACAGCAATTCTACACATGAAAGTCACCATAATATATGTCACAAATTACCCACCTCAAGAAGGAATGGTCCAAAGGGAAACAGTGGCTGTCCTGATCACTCTTGCTTTCTCATGTATCTCCACTATACTGAGGAGTCTTTTGAAATCTCTACATAAGGAAGACATGTAGATAAGGAGAGATAAGACACAGAGTGATTGCGTGTCCTGGCAGGTGCTACGAACTTGCCTCATACAGATGTTATCAAAACTACACCTACAGCTGACAGTAAGGGGACAGACAATTTTACTGATGGGCACAAACAAATGAAAAGGAAAGAAAGTGATCTTGTGACAGGTGTATTAAGAGTCTAGAGCTCTTAAAATCATCTTTTACACAGATGATTTTGTTGATGGCATGACAACACTGATTAAACAAATAAGGACAGCAATACAGGAATTATTTTGTTAGATAATTCTCATAGTCTAGCCAAATTTCTTTTATACCTCCTTTTAATCCATTGGCACATTTCCTTTTGTAAAGAATATTTTTAACCAAACACCACCTGTTTCCCAATAACTTACAAAAATAAAAAATTAATATAAATAAATAAATAAAAGAACAAATGCCATAAATAGCAATATACATTATTAATGTGGGACACAAAGAGGGGTAAAATTTTCTTAAGGAGATTTGAAAATGATTACACTTGACATAGAAAAGTTTTTTGTAAAAGTTCAACATCAATAAATATGTCTCTACTATAAAAAAAGAATATTTTGGCCGGCGCAGTGGCTCAAGCCTGTAATCCCAGCTCTTTGGGAGGCCGAGACGGGCGGATCACGAGGTCAGGAGATCGAGACCATCCTGGCTAACACGGTGAAACCCGTCTCTACTAAAACAACAAAAAAAAAAAAACTAGCGGGCGAGGTGGCGGGCGCCTGTAGTCCCAGCTACTCGGGAGGCTGAGGCAGGAGAATTGCGCGAACCCGGGAGGCGGAGCTTGCAGTGAGCTGAGATCGGCCACTGCACTCAGCCTGGGTGACAGAGCCAGACTCCGTCTCAAAAAAAAAAAAAAAAAAAAAAAAGATATTTTAAAAAATGAACAAAGTTCTCATTGTTTAAAGGTGGAGCTTTCATGTTTGGAATATGCTGTTTGAATGGCGGACATTTCAGCTCTGTCAATAAAATCATTACCTTTAGGAACTTTATCATTCTGATCTGGGTGATCCACAATGAAATCCTGGTATCTGAGCAGGTAGTTGTAAAGCTTCTAACAAATCAGCTATCAATTTTCCATGAGATAACTTAGTTCCAATAAAAGATAATTCTTCTACTTTCCAAATTTACCCTGTTGCATAACACACCAAACCTATCTCTTATAAGGATATATTTTCATTTTAAATCCAGAACCAAGAATTCCAGTTGTAGTAATTGCTATTAACTCATGTGTTTGTGCACACTTAATTTCATATAAAAACATGAGCCTCCAAAATTTCATGCAAAGTCACCATAGCATAGGAGAGCTCAAGTTGGCCAATATTATTTTGAGCATATAACCTATCATAAACTTTAACAAATATGCAATATGAGCAGAAATATTAGATAAGTCAGATCCTTTATTCTCTTCATTCACAAGAGAACAGTTAGACTCTCCTACTAGGAAGGGGAAAGAAGGGCCTATTACACAAGGTTATGTTTGGCAGGATTACCATCTCTAAATTTTGAAGTTTGAAGCAGTGACAGTCTATATCTGACCAAGAATTATAGTAGTGAATACAGCACACTGATGTATGAACATGCAGGAGATGTAATATCCCGAACAGACTGTGCTTGCAGGGGTCACGTGAATAACTCAAGCCAACAAGTTATAAGTGGAAGCAGAGCCAAGCATTCCAATGCTAGTGAGACATGCTCCAGAGTTCCTTTCCCCTTGACAACATGCCTGCTGATGCTTCAAAACCTAATGGAGTGGTAACTACAGATCCAAGGATGATGAATTTGATGTCACTGTAATCTTTCTACACCTGATATTTAATTCATGTTTCATTGCAAGGTTTGATGTGGCTAAAATTCCACTGATAATGTAACAATAATGGGTCCACTTTGATGGGCTTGAAATTCCCAAAAGAACTTGTGTGATGAGGGAAATGGAGTGTGATGAAACTAGCTTATCTGATTTGGATAGGTACCACCTATGTCATGATATTGGTCCACTGTTTTCATGAGAATATTAGTCATCTGATCTATCTGTCTGCTAACTATCCTGTGCATCCAGAGAGAAAATCAGATAGATCTTAGGAGGCAGAATAGGGAGCTGTTAGTTGACACAATTCCCTAGTCCTCTTTCCGGTCCTACTCAATCAGAACCTCCACTGGAGAAGCCAAGAAGTCAGAATTTTTTAATGGAATGCTCTGTGGTTTCTAATTAGGTAAATGCTAACTTCCAAGGTCTTTGGAATGAAAGGGAAGATTGAAAGGGTGGTGTCAGCAGAGTTAGATGCTTCTGTCCATAGGTGAGATGTGGCCATACTAATGTGGATACATTTTTCAATAACACAGGATTTTAAAAAAGCATTCTAGAAAGTTTGCCTTGACAGAGATAAATGCAATAAGTACACAATAGTATCTGGGCCTTTGGGGTTTATGTACCACTGTCATGATTGTAGTGGAAAGGAAAAGGCAAAATGAGAACATATGTAAAGCATCACACTCTGAAATGTTTCATTAAAAATGTCATCAGTCCAAGGAGGCTTATATTAAGTTGAGTTTCTTGTTTGGAAGTTAGTGATTTTCCAGTTGTGGATTTACAGAATAGGTTCTCTAATATACACACATAGACGATACAAGTACACTATTCTTCTGCTCCAAGTAATTTTTCTGATTTAAGAAGAAGCCTCCACAAATCTCTAGTCTCCATTATGGACAGAGGTGATAATTAGGGCTAAAGATTATTGAAAGATATGTTTATAGTTGAACAAGCGCTTGACCCAGGCATAGAAAATATTCTTGCCCTCACTAACCAGTCTCATGCTATTTAATTTAGTAAAATAAAGACATTATGGTGCTAGCAAATATTACAGTCTATTAAAAGCTGGTCCCAGACCATTCCTCTCACTTGGGTTACAGAGAACATCTCCTGGGAAGGAATGAGAGTCGTTTGTGACGCTTGTGGAACTGAGCTTCCTTCAGTCTAAAATACGTGTCCAGTTTCTAGGAAATGTTCTCTAATGGGGGGATGTACACTTTTTAAAGAAAAATCAGAATCTACTAAAAGCTTTAAGGACTAATAATCAACATTAAAAGAAAAAATTAGTCTCAGAATTTACAGGAACTATGGCACTTTTGGAGATGATAATGCAGGTTTTTATTGGTACATATGGAATATATAATTTAAATAAAATTTAAATATATTAAAATAACAAATTTGAATAATCTTAACTGTATTCAGATGTCACTGACATATAAAAATTGTACATGTTTAAGATTTACAACGTGATGTTTTGATGTACCTATACATTGAAAGATTATACCCACAATCAAAGAAACACATCCCTTATCTCTACATAGTTACCATTGTGTGTCTGTATATGTGTGTTAACAAAAAGATTCAACTTAGTTTATCCTAACCTCTTAGCGAATTGCAAGTATACAATACAGTTATATTGCCTTTCTTCACCATACCGTGCATTAACTTTCCAGAAATTACTCCTTGCATTACTGGATTTTGTACTGTTTGACCAGTGTCAGAGAGGTGTGCCGGTCTGTCTCTCTTTTCTCCTGCTGGCTGATGTTTGGGGGAAAAAAAAAAAAAATGTCTTCACATGTTAAGTTTGAGATACATGTTAGATATATATCTTAGTTTGGATTCCTCCAGAAGGTGATTCTGTGTAAAGATTTGACTATAAGGTAGTCTGTTTGGGAAACATCAGTAGGAGACTGGGAAGGTGAGGCAGAAAAGTGAAGGGAGTCAAGGAACAGGGTGTCATCCAGCAGGTTATCACAGTGGGAAAATGAATCCTTCTTCCACAGTGGGATTCTAGAGGTAGTATGAAGCATCAACACCAAGTTTATCCTACCCAAAAGGCAAGGGTGGTGGCATATTTATACACCAACTCTCATCACTCATTGATGGAGAGATACTCACAGGGTGCGTTGACTGCATGTAGCTTCGGGCACAAGGTACATGGACAGAGTATTCAAAGAAAGCCCATTAACAAAGAGATACAAGATGCTAACAGTTGGAGCCACACAAGATGCTAACAGTGGAGCCACACAAACCGATGCACAAAACCCAAAAAGATATAAACAGAGCACTGACAGTGAGGTGGAAAATTAAAGAAAAATAAAATTAAAAAGAAAGAGAAATAAGCTTTCCTGTGTTAGGCTGGCTTGTCCCAGAGGCAGCAACGAACACAGCTCAGACCCAGGGAAAGTCTTAATAATATTATCTAATGTGCTCTGGAGACTCTGCCGGCACTCCCTCAACATAAGGAGAAGAAAAACAAAATGTCCTTTGTTTTATGGTATGAGTTTGTAGATTCTTGTTCTCTGTAACTAGCAACTTCAAGTATTCTGTTTTATCTAAGAAGTACAGCGAAGGTCATGATAAGGCTGAGCAGGCCTGAACTATAGCTGTCTGGGCACCGTAGTGAAGGTGATGAGATAAACCAGGGCAAGGCTTGTTAGAGCAAAACCTAGATAACAGACATCTGAGTTGCATAGCAATGGTGATGTGCAATCCTGAGTTACGAACCTGTTACAATTTCGTTAAGTCTTTGTCCTGCCTCTGTATCCCTGCCTTCACGCCACTGTAAGCTTGCTTCAAGCTAGCCCACTCCCTTTTGTGAAGTGTGTATAAAAGTCAAGTGCTGTCTTTGTTTTGCGCCCAGTCTTTGGACATTGACTCTGCTGAGCCTGAGTGCACTCAATAATAAAGATACCCTCCTGTATACACCCCAAGATCTCTCTCTGGTCCTCCTGATTCCGCAACAACAGCATTACAACATCATAGTGGGGACATAAAGAATCTGAAATTCAGGAACAGTTATTGGAGACATAAATTTGGGAGTCATTGACATATTAGTGGAATTAAAATTCATGAGCTGGATGTGATCGCTTAGGGAAAGAGAGAAAAGGACTCTTTTCTCCTAGCACAGAAATAACAGACA